TATTTATTACAAATAACAAAAAAGAAATTGATGTAAAACTTCAAAATATTAAATATTATTTAAATGATGAATTTTAAAAGAAACTTATATATGTAGGTTTGTAGTATGAGGATATCTAATTAGTTTTAATAATTTAAATTAAGATATTTCAAAGGATAATACTTGATAGTTTCATAAAATTAGATAATGCTTGATAGTTCTATAAAATAATTAGGCTCAAAAACTAAATTTTAGATGTAGAACTTCCGTGTGTTTTTTATTTTTATATTTTCAAAGTTAAAATTTTTTATTTTAAACTTGAAAACCAAAAAAATTAGCATTTCTATTTTGAAATTTAATTTAAGTATTTTTCTTTTTTTCTTTTAAAATCTTTTTTTAGGATTCGAAATTTTATAATAGTTATTGCTGTGTAAGTTTACACGTATACATAAATTTTAAACTAGTCCCACTAATTTTGAAATAATTAACTACCAATACACCTTTTTTTTTTCAAAGACAATTTTATTATTTTTAAAAAATACTGCTTTTTTCTGGCAATGACATATATAGATTTTAATCCTAAAAGTTACAGAAATATCTTGTATAACACAAATCATTTCGTTGTAGGCATCCCCATTTTGATAGTCTAAACTTGTATTATCTAAAAAGTCAAAATAAAATCATAAGTATTATTGTTTTAAGCAATCATAAAAAATGTATACATAAAATTATATAGTTAAAATCCGAAAACAAATTTACATCAATAAATAGTAGAAACTCTTTATAAGAATAAATACTATTAAGGAAGAACCATGTTCCAATGATACGGCTTTAATCTTTCTGTTTCATTGCAAATTTCTTTTGCAACATTTCCTGCGGCATTTCTAGACATTGGCTTGCATAAAAATTATATTGATAAAATTAATATTATATAGATTTTTGATTTTACATATCTTTAATCTAAGAAAAAACAATTTCATACGAAAATCTAAAGAAAAAGAAAGAAATAGAAAAGCTTATATTTAAGAAAAAGAAGAAGAAAAAGATCGACTATACCTATTTTATTTTATTTTTGCTGGTCTCATCACAATCCGGTAGTTTTCCTGTTTGGAAAGAGAAGAATGCTCTTTGTTGCCTTTTGTTTGTTTGTTAGAGAGACATCCTATTTATGCTCCTCAAAATGATGCAGTTGTGTTTTTGAAATTTAAAATTATATCTCATTCTAACCGTATAAAAAAACTGACATGTGTTTTTAAAAAAAAAAACATATTTCTTTTTAAATTAGATTTTAAATACTGAAATTTGAAGATTAATTGTAGTGATGACACATATGCCATTTTTCTTTATATATAGATAGATGTGGATGAGATGGTCTATTATCAATAGGTTTCTGTATATAGAAAAAATTGGTTCTATTTTTTTTTTTTATGTAAAATTTATTATGCAGAGGTTTTATTTTCTTCAAATAAATTGGCGGTTTATATTTTTTTGGTATTTGTAATTATGGTGCAGAATGATTTTTTTTATTTTCAAATAAATGGCAAGTGAATTTGAGTTTATTTTAATATTGTTAAAAGTTATGTCGTATAAGTTTTTTAAAGTTCCTATTTTTGGTCTTTGAATTATTTTATTTTATTTATTTTATGTATGAAATATAGTCTATTAAAAGAAAAGGAAAAAAATCTTTAAAAAACTGCTTTTTAATTTTTAAGTATTTTGTTGTTACTTGCACCTAAAATTTAGCATCATTATCTATATATCATGTATAATTTTAATTTTAGTTTCAATTTTAACTTTTATATTTTTAAAATTTATTTTAGAAAAAGGCAGTTAGCATTTTATTAGGAACAAAAATATTCATTTTATTTAAACAAAAAAAAAAGATTACGTTAAAACAGTTTTTAACGTAAACAATTTTTTAAAAACTGTTTCTAATTTCTGTTTTTTTAAAAATGTTTTGTTATTTAAATTGTTATTTATTATTTAATATATCTACAAATTTTGTGGTGCTGACACGTGTCACTTTTTCTTCTCCTTTTATATATAGAATATAGATAGATTATTTCTGTCGAAGGGAAGTGACTTTTTGTTTGAAAGAAACAGGTTCTTTCCCTACAAATTTTAAGAATCAATCAATTAATATTACTATTAGGAAAAAAAGAAAATTAATTAGTGAAAATGAAAAGAAATTTTATTCAATCAAATACGAAGTCGAAGTCAAAATCGAAATCGAGTGAGCCATGATGACGATGATGCGTTTGGGAGTCTCTCTTCTCTACCCTTTAATAGCTAGGATGAGTGTTTTACCTCAAAAGTACAAAAAGGTCTCCTCTTCACAACCAATGGGGGAGAAATGAACTTTATTTCTCTTCAACCTATTTTCTTCCATTTTCCAATTTTCATTATTCCCCATCTTTAAAGCTTAGCCTTTAAAGAAACCCAATAATCCATATTTGAATGGGGAATGACTACATTATGAAAACTAGTCTCTAGACTGTCCCATGTATTTTTTTTATAGATTGATAAAATGGTTAAAATTATAGAATTACGACATTTGAAAATTCATAGAAAATCAAATTAAAGAAGTATAATAATGAGAAAAAACAAATTAAAAAAAAATAAAAAAATACAATATACATATCCTTCTTAAGACTTTGATCATAACAATATAGATGGAAGAAGAAATACAAAATCAGTACATAATATTTTGGGTTCTTATCAACACCTTTTTCCACAATCAATAAAAATTAAAGAATCTTCTTTACTAAATCAAAATAAAGCATGACTCAAATAGTAAATAATAATATTAATTTCATGTAACCTTATAAATATAAGCTCTTAAACACAAAGAAAAATAAATTTACTTGTCCCATTAGTAATGAGCAAAATCAAAAACAATAATTTTTTTTACAGAAAGATGAAAATCGTAATCTACTATTCTTTTGTATACCTTTATATAGTGCAAGCAAGATAAGAAATATGAGTAATAGATAATTATAATACTAATACATGTGGAAGCTCAAAGGATAAAATAAATGAGGTTGAAATACAAAAAAATTATAATGCAAATAATGTATTTAAGAACTTTTATATGTAGCATCTCTTAATAATAGGAAGTTATGAGTATGAAAAGAAGGAGAGTTAGATATTAAGACTAACAATCAAATCTATTTATATAGAAGGGAGGATATGTAAAAGCTGATATGGCACCTCTCATAATCCGGGAAAGGTATTTATTTATTTTCTCATATTTTTGACAATCTTTTCATTTGTTTTTCCATTTTTTGTGCATAAGAAAAATCACAGGCAACTCTCTTAACTAGCCATTTTGTAAATTATAATTTTTTACATTGATTGCTTAATTAAAAGGGCATCAAAGATGAAAAGTCCCGACCTATCATATTCCAACTACTATAATTTCCTCGTGTGTATTCATTGATAAGCGAAAAACGGTTTTTACACTGAGTTTTCATCGTTACAGAAAAGAGTTTTTGGCCAAAAACATCCTTTAATTATACCTAAAACTTAATGTGCATCCTTCAACTAATTTATTGAACAAAAATCATCCTTAATGTATTCAAAACTTAGCAAGTTTCATCCTTCGTGAAAATTTTGTTAAATACATTAACATACCCATCTATGTGCAAGGCACATGACTCTTAACACCCCAAATATCAAGTTCCTCAAACCAGCCACAATTCAATTTCTTTGTTCTGCTAAAAAAATTAAAGCTATTCCAAGTTAGCTTTTGTATGTGTCAATTTTGCTGAGTCTATATGAACAATAAAAGAAAGGAAATAAACAACAAAGCTAGGACGAGTCTTCTTCTGTGATTATATTTGATTTGGGTATTGATTTTGGGACGGAAGAAAGGCTTGAAACTAATTAAAAATAGGGTGCAATGAAATTTGTTGATGTTCTGGTGATAAAAAATCTTTAACAACAATTTAAGAAAAAATTATTGGGTCTTGTGAAAATGGAGAGAGAGAACAATAAGAGCAGATTCATGTCGAAGAAAATACTTGGATAAAAAAAGAAGGCAAGCACAACAAATAAATGAAAGGTCTTTGAATTACATATGTAAGAAAGTTACCACAAATAACTATGGAAAATAAATCATGATAGCAACAAAAGAATAGCCAATATTGAGATTCATTGTACAAAGCAACTTATATTACGATTTTTATTAAGCTGGAGAATCCTAAATTCATTCCTGGCAAACTTTGCCGGTAAAAAATTAACTCAAAAAAGCTTCAGCTTTGAGAAGAAGAACATTATACAATTACTGGACTCATTTTAGGTTGCTTATAGTCATGTGACTTGCACATGGGATTGAGTCTGTTAATGTTTTTTAACAGAAGTTTTAGGGAAGGATGAACTTGCTAAGTTTTGAATACATTAAGGATGATTTTTGTTCAATATGATAGTTGAAGGATGTACATTAAGTTTTGGATATAGATAAATGATGTTTTTGGCCAAAAACTCTTACAGAAAACAACATTTCACTACATAATTGAAACTATTCTAAATCTATATATATAAAGCTGAAAATAATCACGCTGATGTGGCATGCCTCGTCGGCCTCAATAGAATTTTAGAATTTTTTTTCTTCATTTTCTTTGGAAAAATCTTTGTAAAAAATTAATCTCTTTCCTGATTATGAGAATTTATATATTACCTATAACTCTTTCTTCTAAAAGGGATTGTAAAAATGGTAGTAATTATAACAGTTATAAAAATGGCAGTAATTATTAAAAAACGTTCCTATTCCAAGATGTGACTGATTGACTAAAAATTAGCAGTAATTAAAAAAGTGTTTTGTCTTGATTTTGAATTTTGAGTTGTTGATATTGCTACTCAATTTACATCGGATGGTTGTATAGTACTTATCAGGTGCATTTTTTCTATTGTTTATTCTTTACTTTATGCCACATTTTCATATTAGCAGTGTAATTTACATTTGAGATTGGCTTGGGTTTTAATTTGAAAAATATTTTTGTCTGATGTTGTAAGAATTGTTGTTAGTTGTCGCCTAATATTGTAAGATATTGTATCCATATAACATCGGCTGTGGCAACAGCCAGAGCACGATATTCAGCTTCGGTGATTGAGCGTGCAACAATTGGTTGTTTCTTTGTAGACCAAGATATCAAATTACTCTCAAGGAAAATGCAAAATCCAGAGGTAGAGCGATGAGTTGTTGTACATCCCGCCCAGTTCGAGTCTGAGAATCGAGTTAAGGAGTTGGAAATATTTTGTTCAACTGCAACCCATGAGCAGGAGTGCCTTTAAGATAGCGGAAGATTCGCTTAACGGCTTGAAGATGAATAAGACAAGGTTGATACAGAAATTGGGATGCCATATTCACAGCATATTGTATATTCGGTCGTGTGAAGGATAAATATTGAAGACTGTCGACCATCTTACGATACAAAGAAAGATCATCAAGAAGTTAGGTATCCACAGAATGTCAATCAAGCTTACTATAGAGAGGAGTTTGGACAGGCTTAACTTCGGCCAAATCAAATCGATGCAAAAGGTCTGATATATATTTCTGTTGCAGGATTGTGAACTATCTCCGCACCTAAAAAGTAATGAAGGGAACCAAGATCTTTCATTGCAAATTCAGCTTTCATGGATTCAATAAAATCATAAACAAGCGGTTGTGAGGATCCAAAAACAGCAATGTCGTCAACATATATAAATAAGAAGTATCAAAATAAAATCGTCCTGTCGAAAAGTGAACATGCTGTGATCGGAAGTAGATTGCTTAAAACCAAGGTCCAAAAGATAAGTTGCAAGTTGAGTAAACCACGCTCTAGGCGATTGTTTCAACCCATAAATGGCACGACTTAGCTTATACACATGTTGTGGATAATCTGAATGTTCAAAACATTTGGGTTGATGCATATAAACAACTTCATTTAGCTCTCCATGTAGAAAGGCATTAGATACATCTAATTGATGCATACACCAATTATTAAGAAGAGCCAAAGATAACACTACACAAACAATGCTTAACTTGATCACAGGAGCAAAAGTTTATGTATAATCTAAACCAGGCAGTTGAGAAAAGCCCCATCCAACCAAACGAGCTTTGAAGCGGTCTATAGAGCCAGTAGGACCATACTTGATCCGATATACCTATTTATTTCCTACTATATTCACATTAAGAGGTGGAGGAACTAATTTTCATGTATGATTTTGGACGAGAGGTTTAAACTCTTCACTCATTGTATTAAGCCACCTAGAGTCGTTGGATGCTTGTGTGAAGCATTTTGGCTCAACCGGTGCAATGGAAATAGAGACATTAAGTGAGAGGAAAACACATGGCTTTAGTGACCCGATCATCAGATGAAATAGGCATGGCTAATTGAGTGATTAGGATTTAAAGCTGGAGAAGAAATTAAATTAGAAGAAGATGATACATCTTGGCGAGAAAGACGCATAACATGATCTGTAGTGGAGGTAGTTTCACAAGAAAGAGGTTGTTGATTTTGTGGGAATAAAGGAAGAGTAGTTAGAATACGTGAATTATGCACAAGAGAAGGTGATGGAGATAAAATAGGAGAATTGCACACAACATGTACGTGGGTAGCTAGTTGAGAAAACTGATTATTTGAACATGAGGAAGTTAGAGTCCTAGGAGAAGTAATAGACATGTTTTTAGGAGATATAGAGATAGAAGGGGAAGAAGTTGTATTGGACGTGGAGATAAAATCAAAGTTTGTAATTGGTGAAGCACACATATCAGGGAACTGAATTGAAGAAAATATAGGAGGGGTGGTTTGTGAGAAAGGAACTCTAAGAGTACTAGGATTCACTGGAAACATAGAACTATACGGGAAAGATGATTCTTTAAAATTTATATGGTGTGATAGAATAATTCGATCAGTGGATAGATCCAAACATTTGGATCCTTTATGTTGTGTAGATACACCGAGAAATAAACAAACTTTAGATCGTGAAAGAAACTTGTGAGCAAAAGAATGTGCAACATAAGGAAAACATAAACACCCAAAGACCTTAAGTAAACTATAATCGGGTGGTTTACCATACAATTTTTCATAAGGTGGAGTAAAATTTAGAATAGGAAGAGGAGTAATATTAATTAAATGAACTCTAAATAGAGAAGCGTCTTCCCAAAATGAATAAGGCATTGGGGCATGAAAGAGAAGACAGTGTATCTGATTATTAACATGTCGCGGAGATACACCGAGAAATAAACAAACTTTAGATCGATGCTTTCTTTCTGCACGATCATTTTGAGCAGAGGTATATAGACATGAGAAACGATGAATAATTTCATGCTCGCTAAACAAAGAACAAAAATGAGAATTGTTATACTCTCAGCCACCATCTGATTGAAAATAAGGAATAGAGGAATGAAAAATGTTTGCGACCATGTTATAGAATTCTTTAAATTTATCAAATGCCTCTGACTTGTTTCGCATTAAATAAATCCAAGAGTACTTGGTGTGGTCATCCAGAAATAAGATATAATAACGAAAACTAGAATTTGAACTAAAAGAAGTTTGCCACACATCTGAATGAATTAAAAGAAAAGGAGCAGGTGCAATATTATGAGAAAGAGGAAATTGTAACTTCGATTGTTTTCCTAGATGACAAACATTACAACAAGAACTTCCAGAAGAGGAATTACAATTAATGAACCCCCTACTAACTAAAGCTGCAAGAGAACGTTCCCCTAGATGGCTTAACGTTTGTGCCAAAGATAGGAAGGTGAGATGACACTTGAGAGAGCAACATGACAGGAGCGATCGGAGGTCGAGGGAATAGGATAGAGAGAGTCATTATTATTACAATGGAGCAAGACTTGCTTGGTCTTCTTGTCCTTAACAAAAAAATAGATTTAGTGAATTGAATGAAACAATTATTGTCAACACACAAGCGGTGAATAGACATTAGATTCTTCTGAAGAGAAGGAACATATGAAACATTATTTAAAAGAAGAGGCTTAGAAGATGTCGGAAGAAAAGAAGTGCTAGTAGATAAAATAGAAAGAAGATTACCATTGCCAACCATCACCTGTGACGAACCACTGTAAGGAGATGAAGATGATAAAAGTGATGGATTGTTCGTCACATGCGCAGAAGCACCAGAATAAGGATACCATACTAATGGTTGTACTTCCTCCAAATTCATAGCGGCAAATAATTTTGTTAGTAATTTGGGAACATTGGAATGATTGAAACGATTCCTACACTCCAAAGCAATATGATTAAAGTGGAAGCAAATTTGACAATGTTTAGTCGAGGTGAAAGGTCGCCCAAGAATTCCATCACCCGAAGAAGAAGTAAAAGTGTGGTTGAAAATCAGACAGTGAGATAAAAATTTAGGGCAAGAAGAGTATTGATTTCGACCTCTACCTCGGCGACAACCGTGACCATTATGGGATCCTCTTGGGTATTGATTAGCATGAGATGAATTTGAAGAAGGAGGTTGAGAAAGTGGTGGTGCTTGAGCAGAAGCCACTAATGCAGTGTGAGAGAATCTTCATTGTTGGTCGCATTAATATTCACTTCTTTAGTAAGTAACAATGGACGCAAAACGAGAAAGGACGAAAGTGTTCCTGTAGTATTTAAACCAGAAAAAAAAGTACAATAAGAAGGTGGCCATGGAAGTCCCTGCAATGCTTGGGTCACCAAATCATCATTAGTAACAGATTTTTCAACTGCAGTAAGGGAACAGGAAAGTGAATGCAGTTGTTGGAGATAATTCTCCGTGGACAGGAAACCTTTTTTTAAATTCTGAAATTTTGATTTCAAATGAATTGAGGAGGATGAAACCTGATCTAGGTAAAGGAAGCAAGAATATCCCATGCCTGCTTGGAAGTGTTGCAAGTGTAGCTGAGAAGTGAATCAAGAACCGGAGGGGAGAAATCGACATTAATCCAACTTAGAATAATTTTTTCACATTGAATCCACAAACGGTACTTATCATGAGTTGAGGATGGGCATGGAATAGATCCATCAACCAAGGGAAAAAGATTGAGGCTTTTTAGAACGATAAGAAAAATCTTTTTCCAAATAAGATAATTAAGATATGTCAATTCAAAAGGTACAAAACCTTTAATGTTTGAAATAGTTGGAGGATTTGGAAGACCCAAAGAGGATTGAGAGTTGACGACTTGAATTGAGGAAGAAGTTTGAGCGGAAGTAGTTTGGGAAATCATGGTGCTCTTGATACCAAGTTGAAGTTTTAAGTTATAGAGAGATTGGAGAAAGTAAACTAAGGCATGCGTGAATAGCAAGTGCTTGAACTTGTGCTATTTATAAGGCAATTACAAGTACATAACTCTTTAAATTATATTTACAATAATATCCTTATCATGTAGTAAGAATTAACTTAATTATACCTCAATTTCATCTTATTAATTTCAGCCACTAAAGTTGCTCGAAACCTTATGATGCAGACATATTTTCATCATTTTGTAAGAAAAAAAATTATGTTCTTCCGACAAAGTTCGTCAATCAACCATTTCCCTTTATAATCTCAATTTAGTTTGTTTCCTTCTATTGACATCCAAAAATCTCTAACATAAATCAATTTTATAGGGCACAATTAAGTATAATTTCCATTAGCACACTTCAATTTACTTAATTATTACTCCTATATTTAACATGCCTCCTCACGTTTGATTCCTTCTTGTGAGTCAAGAACATGAATTTTTTTTTTTTCTTTTCTTTAGGGCGTAAGATTTGCATATACACTAAAAATGTGATTTTTTTAGTTTGAACTTCATAAAAATCTCTTAAAAAGAAATTAAGAGTAAATTAAAAAGATCTAAAAAGTAATTAAGGAGAATAAAAATTTAGATGTTTACACCTTTTATTTATTACAATAATAGTAAATAACTTCAGCTCTTCTCTCTTATCTCCAACTCGATCAAATTGCTTTGAATTATATAAGTAAGTCAAAAGAAAAAGTAACTATATTATCAAAAAATATATATGTCCAAAACATGAAATAAGAAAGTGGCAAAAGGTACTCTATCATAAAATCTTTTATCAAAGGACAATATTAAATTTCACTCAGTGCGGATTTTTCATTACTCTGAAAATTTAGATTAATATTTGATTTCTCCTATTCTTTATTGTTTTCCGTATGATTCTCTTTTATATTTAAATAAAGGTTGAAAAATGAAATATGTTTAGTAATATTACTAAAACTATTTTTTCTATTATTTTAGTATGTCGTTATTAATAAGAATCATCATGTAAACTAATAGGCTTTTTCATGATTTCGCGCGGTCAAATTCCTTAGTAGATTATTAAATATGAGTCATGAAGATGAATTTAAAATAAATAAAAGTGAAAAATAATAAATAAATAAATAAATAAGAGGAAAAAAAAAATAGTTCGTATGATATCAAGTGCAATGAAAATAAATACAAAAAAAAAAAAGATAAAAAAAAATGTAATTAGTTAATTTTTAAAAGGATAAAACTATCTAATATCTTTCCATGGTTATTTTCGTCTTTCTTCATTTGACTCAACACTTTTTTCCAATTTTAATATTTAATCATAATATGCTCTGATTTTTTTTAAAAATATTTAATTAATTAAATATTTTATAATGTACTAAATTAAGTGTAGGGGTAAAATGGTAATTCAACTTTTACTTTTGTGGCTTCCCACTTATAGTATAAAATATGATATGATTTTATAATGTACTAAATTTAAGTGTAGGGGTAAAATGGTATTTCAACTTTTACTTTTGTAGCTTCCGACTTATAGTACAATGTGATATGAATTACAAAAAATTGTGTGATATATATAAAAATAAGAATTAATCACATACGGATAAGTATGGTTTCCTTTGAACTCTCATAGTGAACATACATTGGCAAATTGTTAAATCGATAGATTTAATATCTTTAAATCGACAAGCTTTTATGTCTACCTAGATAACGTATGTCACACAAATAATCCTTCACCGTTCTTAGTTCTCATTATTATGTTCATTTAAGTCATGAACACAACATAATTTCATGAGTGCGTAAAAAACTGGTCTTACACTAATAATTTTTCTTGAGGCAGCTTACATCTTACATTCACATAGATGATTTTTAAACATGTAACTCGTATATACGCTATTTGATCGTGTCATATCAAACTTAGAAATCTTTAAAGACTCTCAACATTTTATCCTTGCTTCTGAATATTGTCTTTATTTTGAGATTTTAATTAGTTTAGCAACAACGTTGAACTGGAATTTGTAAGTTTGTTTGATCTCCTTGAATCTAGATTTTGATTTCTTAAGTCTGCTAGGTAAAATTACCATTATGATTACTTATCATCATCCATAATCTCATCCCCTTTGATGATTTATCAACTAACTGATCTCTAGTTATGAAACATTAGTACCATTTGATATTTGGTATTTCCTGAATACCGAATTATTTACTTAATGAATGTCATATATTAATATGTTCATTCCTCATTAGTATAATTCCAAAAAGAAAGTTAAAGAATAAACATTAGAGAAAAGGCATAAAGTCATTATTGAAGTGGTCTCGAATTTTCAAAAAGACACCTTAACTTTGCGACCGTCCTATTACCCCACTAAACAATTATGAACTAATATTATTGTATCATTTTTCGATCAGCCCCAGATTTTAAGAAGCAAGTTTGTTCACAAACCAATCATTACATGACACATGTTAATTTAATTAAAAATATAATTTTTTTTCATTTTAAGTTTTCTCTTTATCTTATTTTTTCTTTATTCTCTCTCTCTCTCTCTCTCTCTTAATTTTTGACTTATTTTAATTTTGATTTCATCTTAAATTCTACTTCATTTTCCACCCCTCCCCCCAACTTTCAAGCCGATCCATCCCTCCATTTTCTTTCTTTTTCTTCACCTCCCACCCTCACCCCACCCAGTGGCGGACCAAAATTTTCGTTCAGGGGGTTCGAAAAATAAAAATATAAACGTGTCAACAAGCCTTTAGAAATGGGACCCTGGAATTCTATTGGGTTTAAAACCATACTTTTAGCACGTTTTAAAAATAAAATAAAAAACTTAAAAAAAAAACTTGAAAAACAGAACTGGTTTTTTTTAAAAAAAACTGAAACTAAAAAAGAAAAAATAAAACGTTATCACAGGGATTCGAACTAGTGACATGAAGCATAATTTCAGGGGACTTGCCGCTGCGTTGTCAACCTCTCCTTGTTATTAAGAGGGTTCAAAATATATATATCTACAAAATTACATAAAATTTACCTTATATATACAATTAAATTTTTTGCCCAGGGGGTTCGACTGAACCCCCTGGAACCCACGTGAGTCCGCCCTTAACCCCACCCCCAACATCAAGTTTAACCCCTCTCCACTTTTTTTCTTTTCCTTTTCGTCTTCTTCTTCTTCTTCTTCTTCTCCAATCAAATTCTTTATTTCAGTGATTTTTTTGTTTAAAAAAAATCATACTATTTACTAGACTTTATTGAATTATTGACAACAAAACTAATTATTTTTCTAAGAAAATTTAAATTTTTGAAGGTATCAACAATTATTCCTTTTCATATAACTTCAAAATTAGAAATGATAATTTTAAAAGAATCAATGAATTTCTCGAAAATTGAAAGAACTTGATCGAAATCGGATAAAAAAAAAGCTATATGATACCTGCTAGTCATCTTGAAATCTAATGGGTTTATCAAATTGTTCGAAATGTAAGAAAATATTTAGATAAAATTTTAATATTAAAGAAAGTAAAACTAATAGTAGTAAAAAAAACGAAGGTGAAGTTGTGGTAAAAATGGTGACATTGAAAGTGAGAAGCTTCAATAGAGATGACAATGAATTTTTGAAGAAGAAAGAAAGAGAAAAAATAATAAGGAAAAAAAGTTAAAATAATAAGAAAATATATTTTATAATAAAATACTTGTAAAAATAAAATTATATTAGTTATTTTAGGTTGCTCACTCTCTTTGAGGGAGTGCACACACTCTCTATGTAATGTGGACAAAAAATTATGTAATAATATCAGTTCAAGATTGTTTAGTGGGGTAATAGGACGCCCACATAGTTAAGATTTTTTTTGAAAATTCGGGACAAGTTCAGGTATCACTTTATGTCTTTTCTCTAAATATAAACAACTCAAACACACATCTTTTAGTTGTATCGATTTGTTTTTCTTG